AGTTAAAATGGAGAAAACGGGTTTTAGTGACAGATAGGCATGCAAACTGAAAGGGTGAGAAAACATCAGAAACAGTGTAGGACGATATAACTTCGCAGATGCACGGCCGGTACACACAGCGTTTATGTAGCGGCCGTGGAAGACGTGTGCTCCGCTCAACGACTGATCGATCGAAAATAGCCAAACTGTATGCGAGAAATTTCTCACACCCTTAACGAGTACTTTTCTTCTTACCGGCTATTCAAGGTTTTGATTGGATCACATCGACAGCAGCTTTTATCGTCACAGTTGTACGAACTTGTATAGCTGCCCTCTTAAGGTGGAGTCGGGAAACCACGACGCGAAGAAATCGGTTAACGAAATAGTACGACTTAAAAGACCGCGCAAAGAAGCTGTGTTTTCGTATGAGGTAATTTCTATTCTACGATCTTTGGTAGTTACGCCTCTGAGTTTCACTTTATTACCGCGTTACGGGTTGTCTTTTGGTGCTTGAAAAAGGCTGTTGCAACATGGGAACGTTTGAAAAAGCCTCTTCCAAACAAATAAACAAACAAACCACGAGAAATATACGCTTATGACGACATTATTGTAATACAAATAGACCTGTAAACGGTCAAACTATTTAAGATGACGCTTTAATCAGCGCCATGGCGAGTCCACGTAGGCAACAGACGTGAAGCGCACTTCGGCCATTCCATTCAGCGCTCTTGGAACAAGTCTAATATGCAGTGTACTCGATGTACATCGACACGGGCCTCTCCTGATGTTCCGATGGTCCAGCCTGGCGCTTTAGAAGAAACTGCGGGCCTCCCTCGAGTTGTCAAAGTAACAAATCAAATTTTATTTCGACGTACGTAGAACCTATGTTGAAGGCAGTAAACCAAAAGCCAGCAAGGCTTTACGAGGTCTTTGGCCCCATCTCTAAGCAGCAACAAAACAACAAATGAGAAAGATAATTCAACATTAAAGAATGTAAATAAGGAAACGTTCACAGCTAGAACTATGGAAATGCATTATTATACACAATTGGGAATATCACTCGTCATCTATACCACATAAAAAGCTCGAACGCAAACATTAAAACAGAAAAAAAAGAAGAATTTTGAGTACACAAGCTTCATGGCCTTCATCTTCCGTGACGAATGCCGTGCCACGGACGAAATGTAATTCATAAAAGAAATTGCTTTTTGGTACGTGCACCCGCTTTTTGGTCTGACATGTTCTGTTGCAACAATGTGTGACATGTATCAGTGTTAGTAAACGGCAGAGCAATTACTGTATGACGTATATCCACCGATTGTGCCGGCTCTTTTACACCGTACCTGAGTTAACAAATACGATTTCTTACTCCATACGTGCCATCTTGTAAGACGAAGTCACTGAATAACTCCAACATGATTCCGAATAAGGTTGCTCCCTTTTTCTCTTTGATCCTTTTGTTTCGTGTTTTGAGACAAGTGACCGAGGCACCACATTGCAGACCAATGGCTGTATTTTTTTTTTTCACCACGATGAAACCGTTATACTCAACGCTACGGCAGTTCATGCACAACCTTCTTATATACCCCGAGTTTGTAGCATGCAAACATCTTCAGGTGGGGCTACCGTAAGGACTTTGAATGTCGGTGAAGGGACATATCTAGAACGCGTGGAGTTTAATAATGTTCAGCGTATGCATTTACTATCCTAAACGTAACAAAACAAAACCGGTGTTTATGTACGCATGCAGGCAGTTTTTCAATTGATGTTCGCATTACCTATATACAAAACACATGAAACCCGGGTAAATGAGATACGAAAAGTGCACTAACAAACAAACAAACAACAAACAGGAGAGCAGTCACCACAAGTCAAGTGGTAATGGCGGAACCAGCCTGTGTACCCAGCCAACCAAACGTCGTCTTCTTCACAGACTGAGTGACACCCTCTGCCTTTCTGAGTGGCACTCATCTTCTTCACTACAAAACAAACAAACACAAATGACACCACGTCTGCAGTTTAGCGCCAGTGAATTGGACGTGCTGACTAGAAAAAGGAAGAAAGAATGCAAGTATTCTCGTGACGTCAGTTCTCTGGAAACATGGCACTGAAACATGGCACGAATACACACCTTCACGTATACGTTTACTATACGTGAAACATCTTTCTACAATCGTGACATAATCTCGCATCCGCCTAATTCGAACAGATACCCAACTGGTGGCCTTGCACGGCGTTTAATGTAAATGAAGTAAATAATACTTGGTTGTTTTTGATAACAAGATTGGCCGGGTACGCACTTACAGACCACTACCTAGAAGAGAATGCGGATATACTGCTTCAGCAAGTAATAATGGCCAGATGAAATCGTTTGTCTTGAAGATGATGGTCAACGATTTTTTTCTCTCTCACAGCAGAGAAAGCAGAGCGGCATATATGCAGCTTCAAGATACTTAGCTGAGAGGTGTGTCTAGCGATTGACACTAGCCATTAACTGCTTTTTCTGGTTTACTAATGAAACAAGATGTGACCGAAAATTTGCAAAATTTTGTTGAACGTGCAGTCTGTCACCGGGGGAATATACACGCCGCAGTGGAGGACTCTGGAAATTTTGACCACCTGGTGTTCTTCATCGTGCATTGAGATTGCCAGTACACGGGCCTACAGCATTTCTCTCCGTCAAATTGCGACCGCCATGGCTAGGGTCGAACTCACGACCTTCCCGGTATTAATGTATCATGTAGCAATACGTAGCCTATTCAACGGTTTCCTTCTTTCCCGAAGCCGGGGGTGTGAGTTTACTGCAACCAGCAACGTGCTTTTCTATATGCGGTGGTTGTCCATATATATATATATATATATATATATATATATATATATATATATATATATATATATATATATATATATATATATATATATATATATATATATATATATATATATATATATATATATATATATATATATATATAGCGATAGCCCTCTGGCGTTTCAGGGAAACGTACGAGTCATGATAGGCGGTTGAATAGTTTCTCAGAAACTATTCTGAGAAACTATAGTTTATAATAATTTATTTCATGCATGGACATTTGAATGGTGGAGAAATCAGGTCGCGAAATAAACGTCCGAACGAACAAATGTATCATGCGTGCTGCAGGAGGGTCCGATAATAATTGTCCAGAAAGCTAAGTACACGAATGCTTTTCTTTTTACTCCTATGACCCCAAGGATTAACGCCCAAGGATTAACCCACTTACAACCTCGCGGACAGCAGCAAGACGTCAGCGCCTCTGATGCACCTCGCTAAGTCCGGTATAAAGGTCCTAATCTTCGTTATTAAATACACAAGTCGCCGTGCAGTACTGCCACACATGCACCATTTACCCGTGACAAAAGGAAATTTGTACTCAACATATTGCACTCGCGAAGCACTGTCTTGCATGCTTGCGTTCGCTCTGCCGTCAACACAATCGAGTGGTCTTAACGCGTTTTTCCGAGGACAACACCTTCCATGCACACAACTACGATTCCAAGTTTTAGCGAACACACGAATTTACATTCATTCAATTACGCTTAACGTCGTCAAAAAATGGCGTGTCGTCGACGTCCCAGGTATGCAGGTATGCATTCGAGTTTGCACGCGGGTGACGGTGCTACCCGTAAACGCAAAAGCGAGACAGCTTTAATTACATATACACCTATATTGGAGGTTAGGTAGTTAGCGCAACAAGATTATATTTTGCTATACATTTTACTAAAATGGCCACTATGCATGCACACGGACACTAGCAGCGGACTACAATGCCGATTTCGCGAAGTGTGACACCCATGAAAGAAAAAAGTAAGACGACCTCCGCGCAATGAAATGTGTCGAAACGGCGAAGCGCTCTCGAGTCAACCCCCGCCTTTATTCCCGACAACGGGCATACAGGAAGTCCTGCCCTTCTTTAGGAAAGGCACGGCGCACATAACAGAGCTGACAGGCTCGTCTCCACCGCGCTTCTCCTCCTCGCACTTAGCGCGTCCTCGCACAGGTTGCCGCCTTTACGGCCAACGCCACCTGAACTAGCCTTCGTGCACCACTTCTTAGGCAGTTACGCCTTCTGTGGGTGTATCTGGGAACCGGAGCTTGACATGGCGATGCACTCGTCTGTCTCATCAGCCTACAAAGCCTTAGAACAGCTCCGCAATTTAAAGAGAGCGACCGGTGCTATTCCAAGTGCGCATTAGTCTCTTTGCCAGCTGCTGGCCCTTACCGACGCAATGAAGACATCTTGAACTTGTTAGATAGCACGCTACTTGTGCACCCGCGCTTACAATTGGATAAGTACAGGGGCATTAATAAGTTACTACACTCGATCAGGCACAGCGAGACAGCACGTGTAGTATACATTAACCTTCTTGCTTTTTTTTTTCCTGACTAGGGGCACACTGTGGCTTCATTCATTTCCCGTAATGCAATAATCAAGTCTCAATAATCTCGAACGCACATGTCCCCAGTAAGGAATACATGTTAACAGTAACACTGACCATGCTGATTATTTGTGACGTTTCAAGTATTTCTTTCTAGCTTGCGACAGTGTACTTCAATTCAATCGATCACGAACACACACACAAATAAAATACTTTCAAGGAAGTTGGCTCAGCGCTTCCACGTCAACTGCATGCTGCCATCCGACATGTAAGCAAACGTGGCTGAACATTAACAACATCCTCGTCTCGCCTCTCAGCTGCGTCCCACGATGATGGAACAGTGACATAAATGCAATGTTTCTTTCGAGTTAAATGGCAAGTTCTATAATGCAGGAACGTATAGATAACTCTGTATGCCGCATACGAACCGACGTCACCGTAGCCCGCTGGACATGTTTGAGTATATGCGAGGTATTGCATGCATAAAAGCAAGCACGGGAGCCGCCACGACACCCGCACCAGGCATATGGCACGCTTTCCCTGAGCAAGCAGAGGTGACCAGAATAAGTTGTTGCTTTCGACGCAGCCGCTGTGCAGGAGCCACCTTAGACGCTGACCGGAGGTGGACTGGAAGTCAAGGCACCGGCGTCCTTCTTGAAGTCGCATTCCTGGTCACGCCACGGCGTGGTTAACCGCCGAAGCCGCTGTGACACGCGAGAAAGAGAGATTAAAGTCAGACACTTCATTGCTTTTTTTTTTTAATTTCTTGTCTTAGAGAAAGAGAAAGAGCACGTGAATAATGAGAGCGATACCAGCAGCGTTCAAAATTAACTTGCTATGAGTCATCTCTCAAGTGAGTATACAAATAAACCATTAAACCGTTATCCAATACTGAGGATTCATTGCAGATGTCTCGCGTTTAAAAGTAACGTGAGAAAATCACATGGACCCCTTCGGCGCAGATATATATTTTTTAATCCGGTCACAACATGCACATGGTTTGAGCGCACAAAGTCTGAATAAAAACCCGAAGAAGCACTTGATATATAGGCTGAGGGGAGATTTTTTTTCGACTAATTGATCGTAGAGGAAAGGAGAAAGCCGAAATGCATGCAAGCGTTACCCAGCAGTTGTAGTATTAACCACACCTTTTGTCTGTTCGTGACAAGCTGCGTTTTGCAACGGCACTATGTGAAAGCGACCATTCTTCCAAGATGCGCGACGCACCTGTGCCAGTGTTCCGGGCGTCCGGATGAGGTTCCAGATGGCGAAGGCCGGTATGCAGAGCACCGACGAGGCAGCTACGCAGATTCCCACCGCGTCGGCACTCCACGGGTACTTGTACTCGTTGTACGACAGCCGCTCGTAGTTCACCAGGCCGCTGGCGATGATCACCTGCACGACACGCCTCCACTCGTATATAGACAACGAGAAACGCGGTAAAGTAGACCTTTGAAACGCAAGCACACTTTTGCCCTGCAGGATACGACACCCTATTGTTTTACGTAGTCAGGGAGATCCAACACAGCCCCTTATTTGCGGATCCCCTTGCCGACTACGCAATAACACCACATTCAGTTGTGAATACCGAGCACTATAGAAAGTTAGTGCCCGTGTTGTCTTCTTGCTGCTTCCACGTGTTTTAGAGGCGAAGCTCCTTTTAGTCCAAACTTGTCGTGCGTCAGACGTAACCGGCAGTATTAGACAAACAGAATGACAGACAAACAGACAAACAAACAGACGCACGTACGGACGCACGGACGCACGGACAGACTTGTGATTTTTTTTTTCGTGCTACTTTGGCCAATATGAATGAAGACAAAGCGGCGGAGCGGAGGGCTCGCAAAGCAGCTGCAGCGCTCGCCGTCAAGCCGACCAGGGCTCGAGAAGCCGAAGCGAGGGGCAAGCGTCTTGCCGACCCGAAGATGAGAGCTCGAGAAGCTCGAGAAGTGGACTCGGAGGCGGCGAGGGCCCGCCGACAAGGAGATCCTGCAGAGTCGGCGCGGGCAGCTCTCGCTACCGTATACGGCGACGAATAAAATAGCTGTTTGCGTAAATGCTGAACCACCCTGCGTTTGTCGCGTCTTTACATGATGGTCGATTGGGCAAAATGTACGGAGGATTCACGGTTTACCAGGTTTACCTCCGGAGCATCGCCCACTCATCATCATTTACCTCGTGGATACGCGGGGATTTTTTCAAAAAGATTAATTAACAGCAGACTTACCACTACCCGAAACTCTATGGTATGTATAGAGCTGTTGCAAAAGGAAAGAAAAGGGCAGTAGACGAAACGACTCTGTAACTACATCATATGCGTGATCATATATCGTTGTGACCCCCTCTTACATTGGTTACGAAAGAGCTGTTGACAGCGACGGGTACTCGTGTCTATCGCACACTACCAGAGCCTGGCTCACACCATTTACTAACATTCTGCCAACATTCGTTAGCATCAATTATTGTCGGCTAATTATGGCTTAAACTTTGAATTAGCCCAAAAGATAAACTAGGGAAATAAATGTCGAATTTGGAAACATTCAAGGTGGAAAGCTTGTGCTTTACATTATGTGTAATTATTTGTCTCCTGCGTTTTGCTGCGTGTATGGTAAGCGATTAAATTATTATTTGGCTTTGTACGCGTAACATGCGAACTTAGTCACCATCGATCTGAGCTCGAATCACTGCGACTCATGTTCTGAAGGATTCTATTGTGCTCGCACATCTGGTGTTGTGCTGCTTGACATGCTTTGTGCCGTTTACTTCATATTTTATGCTTCGTTCTCTGGGTGAACAAAAAGAAGCAAATGCTGTCACAAAGGCACCAAGTTCATTCTTCTATGCCACTTTGAGGTGACACCAAAGTGAAGCTCACAAATGGCGCCAAAAGTCAAGGTTAACGTTTCCTTTTTAGATTCCGTACCGAAATCCCTACCCGTGTACCCAAATTTCAAAGCATATTTTTCGTTTTTAGGACACTCTGAATCAATAAAATTTCCCGAAACTTGTATGTTAATTCTGCGGTTCCTTCAGTGGATAAAGTACTTGATTTTTACCCATTAACAACAACGCAGGGCCTATAAAAGGCCGTGAAAATCTATGATGTCACGACGTTTGGGCACGAGAACATCGAGGTTGCATCGTCCAACGCATTTTTTTTTTTGCGCGTTTTCTCGCTTATACCAAGAGCTTTCCGACAGCAAGAGTGGCGGTGGTGGTGGTTACATTATCAAGGGATTCTGGCGCATATGTCCCAGGGTCCCCCGCACGACCCCTACGCGCTATGCGTTCGTGAGTTCATGTAGTTTCATAACGTGTTCCTGTTGTCGTGGAAGAGTAACTTTCTAATACGAGAAAACTCGTTTTAAGAGCGCAGCACTTGAAAACTCTATAGTCGTCCATCCATACATCTCATCTGGCGTGATCACACTCAAAGTGAAGAACCAAAATGAGGCCATAACAGGGTTAGCATGCACTGTTCGAAAATTGGTTAAGTTGAACGAACAAGGTCTAACAGGAATGGTTGAAAATCAGTAGCATTTATTAACTACAAATCGCTAAAGTGCTTCAATAACATAGGGCTGACTCCAGAGGAGCGCGAGAGAGGGTGCCGAGCCATCGCCGAGCGAGCCATGGATGGATGGATGGATATGGCTGTACCCTTTAGATCGGGCGGTGGCTAGCACCACCAAGCCGTAATACTTAATGAACCAAAAACTAGATTTATTTTTTTCTTTAAAAAGTGAGTTTGAGGATTCGTACTTTGCAGTGAAGGGTTTATTTTCACTGGTTCCTTGACTATAGCCACCAATCACATAACCTCCTTCTGATTAAGTCTACCCGCTTAAAGTCTATTTTGCCCTCCCGGTAACTAAACCCCAGTGCTTTGAAAAACTCTGCGCCATCATCTTGAACTATAGGGTGAAGCCCTTTACAGAACATTATCAAGTGTTCGGCAGTTTCTTCTTCCTCTCCACACGCACTGCATACTGTGTCTACCCCTCCGTATTTGGCCCGATATGCCTTGGTTCGCAGTACTCCCGTCCTGGCCTCAAACAGTATAGAACTACCCCGAGTATTATCATAGATCCTTTCCTTGGCAATTTCCTGCTTAAAAGTTCGATAGATCTCTAGTTCGGACTTCTTAATCATGCCCATTCTCCACATTTCAGTTTCCGTTTCCTTCACTTTCTTCTTAACCGATAGTTCTTTTTGGTTTGACCACCTGCTGTTTTTTAAGTATTTACCAGTCAACTTCCTGGTTCGCTTCCTCCATTTTGTATGGACATTCTTCATGTACAAGTAGCTGAAAACCTTCCTAGCCCAACGCTCCTCCCCCATTTCTCTCAATCGCTTTTGAAATTTTATCTTGCTGCTAGCTTCCCTGCCCTCAAATGATGTCCATCCCATATCACCTTGTACTCCCTGATTTGGTGTATTCACGTGAGCTGTATTGTATTCCCGTGAGCCAATGCCCTTCTCTCAGCGCCACCTCGGTGTCGGCGATAGAGTCGCTAAGTGACTACATCCATTGAGGGAAACCGTAGAGTTTCCTAAAATTAACTAGAGGGGACTCTGGCGCTGCCATCGTTCAGCGACCATGGGAATGATGGGTAGCACACACATTTGCCTAGTCTTCGGACTTGCGGGCGGCGAATCGTACTTGCGGCTTCGTTTATTGCTGTGTTTCGGTTTAGTTTTAAAAAAAAGAACGAGACCTTTTGAACTTCGTGACCTGATTTGAAAAGGTAAGTTTTAAAAAATTAACGTGATGAAACACAGCCGCTGAACATTTGCTGATTTTTTTGTTTCGTGAGAAAACAGCTCCAAGCCACACGAACACACACGGAACCAGAAGCAGGCCGGAAGTACGAAAACTAGCCAAATGTGTGTACTATCATTCCCATGCTCGCTGAAGCGCCGTGCGTTGCAGCTCCCATAGAGACTAGCGCCAGAGTTCCCTCTAGTGTATATTAGGAAACTCTATGAGAGAAACAATCTGATGGAAGTCGCTGCAGATGACGCGTATTTAAATTACCGTAACAAGCAGGTTGCCAATAAAGCGCAGTAAAAAGAAGTGTGGCAGCTTGGGCAGTTGGTATGGCATGACGATAGTTATAGCGCGAGAACACAACGATGACACAGAGACAAGAAGGACACGAAAGACATAGCGCTCGTGTCTTTTGTGTCTTTCTTGTCTCTGTGTGGTCGTTTTGTTCTCGCGCTATAAATATCGCAGTAAAAAGTTGCGCACATGTCGAACACGAATTACGTGAATCTGTTTAGCAAGATTCTACTAGTGCCCTTGATCCGACGTTAAGCATACAGCTTACAACAAAAATTCGACGAGGCGACGCTACTGCTCTGTGCAGACTATGGTTGGGAGTCGCGTTTACCCGTGCGTACGCGTTCCGCATAGGTATGGCCGACACCGCCGACTGTGCACACTGCGGAGATGAAGAAACCATCCGACATATCCTGTGTGACTGCGCGAAATACAACCTGGAAAGACAACAGCTTTCTAATATACTAAACAGGTTAGATGACCTGCCGCTGTCAGAAGAAAGTATACTGCGCCATCACCATGACTCATTGTGACAGAAGAAAGCCGTGCAAGCGCTACTGGGCTTCTTGCGAACTACTGGCCTGTGGGAACGCCTCTGAGTGGACTGATTTTGTGTGTGCGAGTGTGTCGGTGTTTTTCTCTTATTTATTTTTAACTCTCCCTTTCTCTTTCAACCCCCTATTCCCCAACCCCAGTGTAGGGTAGCATACCGGATACTAGCATCTGGTTAACCTCCTTGCCTTCCTATTTTTCTCGTTTCTCTCTCTCTACTAGTGCACAGCAAACCCTGCATGCTTATCTCAATAATTGGCACCATTGACGCTTTGGTGAAGAGAGAAGTGGGAACTCGATGAATGGAAGTCGCTGGATGCCCGTGCGATGCCGTTCTGCGGGCTTCACAGTAGCGGAGCTGTTATATACGTTTTCTTTTCTCTCTCTCTCTCTCTCTCTCTCTCTCTCTCTCTCTCTCTCTCTCTCTATTTAGTGTACATTTATGAAGCAATTACGGATAAACAAGCGATAATGTAGTAGTGCTGAGTATTCATGGCTGAATAACGGCTTATATCTGCTACTGTTGGCTACATGCCGTGATGTCCTCTAATGTCACCACGTATTGGCAAAGTGATGCAATTACAAATAATGCCTACAAGCGCTGTATAATAATTTCCCAGAAGTAAGCTTCCGCGATATCTTTATACTGGACAGGTGCACACGTCCGTCAACATGCTAGTAAGTCAGGTGCTCTATTCCGGACGTCTCGGCATGACAGCGATAGCGGGACAATACTCAATATATCGCAAAGATGAGAAAGCGAAACACACAGAGTGCACTTTTGTTCTACGACATGACAGAGCCGAGATTTTTTGCAGGGTCTAGCATTACATAAAGATAACGAAGATAAGACGGCTCTCAACAAAGTTCCGTGAAATGACCGCGACTGCGCCAGATGTACCGCTCTGGACACCACGCTGACGCCGTCACGGAAGCGTACTATCGGGATGACTGTCGCCAGTTATGTCAAGGAGACCGTGCTTTGTTTGTTTTTTCTTGCCTGCTTTTAGAAGCTTGCCCTGCAACGTATATATGTTATTTAAATGATCCTAGCATCTGGGGTTTTGCGTCCTATGACTACAATATGATTATGAGGGACGCCGTGGAGGGGAGCTCCGGAAGTTTCGACCATGGTTCTTTAACGTGCACTAAATTCCCACAGTACACGAGCTTGCCTCTTCACCTCCAGCGACATGCTACCTTCGCGTCTGCAGTCGAACATCGTAAACGCTGCTCCGCTGTGGAGGAATTTATGTTATTCAAAGAAATTTGTGGATCTCCTCCTCAGCGATACATTTAACGTCGACGTCCATGTACACGGATTAAACTACCTAGCTCAGTCGTGAGCCAGTTGATCGTGATAATGCTTCGTACTATAGAACGCGAAGTAAGGCGAGAAAACATTGGGTACAGCCCAGTCGGTGTCTGTCTTCTTGACTCACAAAGGAAGGAAGGAAGGAAAATAGGAGGAATAGAACGGCAGGGAGGTTAACCAGCCTATGGGCAGCCGGTTTGCTACCCTGCACATGGGAGGGGATGGGGGAGATGAAAGATAGAGAGCAGAGAGGGAAGAGAGATAAACACAGCGCATTCGGCAGCACACGTGCGCACACTCAGTCATAGTCCAGTCTTGTCTTTCGCGGTGTCACGGTGACATTGCTGTTACGGGCGCTTGTTCAAGTCCGTGTCGCGTAGGAATTTCAACGTAGCTTCTGTCGCCTTCTGTTGCAATGTCTTCTCTCGGGCACTTGACAGAATGTGTTTGTGGACACTATTGACTCACCAGTATGAAGAAAGGCGCCACGACGGCCCAGCAGAATTTCCACCACGAGCCGACGGGGAAGCCCAGCATCTCCTTGATGTCGTCCGAGAACCTTCGGATGCCTGAGGACAGGACACGGATGAGCGTGTAGACGTATACATTTCGCGCTAGTCTACCACACCAGTGTCTCAGCACTCTGCTTTTCAAAGGAATATAAAGCCCTTCCACAGTGAAAGCTGTTATGAGAACACAAGGGTCGATTCTGGCACCGTAGTTGTCCGCGGCGCCGGCGTCCGTAATCAACATCGCACAAAATAATAAAGAAAACTATATCTATTAAATTGTCGCGTAAAATGGGAATCGAACCCGGGTCATTTGTGTGGGAGCCTAGTACCCTAAAAGCTACGCCGTAGCTTAAAACTCCCTTGCAAGTTGACCTTGTGCAGGCTTCATCTAGGGTAAGTAATCACGTCAACATGTGTAATTATGTGTTTTAGAACAGTAAAGTAACGACCAGGCGTCACACAATGCGAATTGCGTAAAGGGTAGGTGGTTGAATGCTCCAACCCATTAAAGAACGTCAGGCATAATTATTTATCGTCGCCAGTCACAGCATCAAGAAAGTGCATATGATGCCTTCCAAGTGTGTAGCGGATACCCACCACGCTTTTCCGAAGAATGACGAATAATGACGTTGTGGACACTTCTGCACAACACAAAAATTCTCACGATTTATGACGTAGTGGGTACCATGCATGTGTGCTTGTAAAAGATGATCCAAAAGTGTTTTTTTTTAAATGGGTGAATGAGGGAGAGTGGAGCGAAGCTGGGTCCGCACGCCGCGGCCTCCCGTTCTCGTAAGCCGGGATCTTGTCGGCACCTCCACGCATCTTCACGGCACGCTTCAGTCTTGCGCGCTCGCACATCGGGGTTTCGTCTTCGAGCGCGAGCCGCCGCCGCATTGCGCGCACGCCGCTCTGCAGCCTTGTCCATCCGCCGACCTTCTGAACGCGCGCGCCAGAACGGCTTTTTTTATTTTTACGACTCCGCACCCCCTAGCGTACGGCGCGGCCGAAGAACACGCGATCGTCAACGTCTTCATGAGGCGTGATTTCTGTTTTCTCGTGCACTCGCACATCGGGGTTCCGTCCTCGAGCACGAGCCGCCGCCACCTTGCGCGTATCATACTTTTTATCCGCAAACCGTGAATCGTCCACTGGCTGCGCCCGTCCGTCGTCTGTTTGTCTGTCTGTTTGACGCACGGACGGACACATAAACGAACGCACAGCCTCACTGACGGAGTATGCATAAACGCAGGGACGGACGCACGGGCGGATGGATGCACGAACAAACGGACGGACGGACGCATGGAACTTTTAGCATTCGATGACACTTCATGGTTCGCAAAGTCCCACATTATTGTCGAAGAAGTAATTTGTAGCAGCAACAGCTTAAGAATACGCGAGAGGAAACCGTGGTTTCTAAAAAAACGTGATATGTTGGAGCGGGCCGCGAGATAGACTTCACTGTGCTGGTTCCTTGGCGGCTTCGTGGTGCGCAACTGTATTCTGAGATGTCCTGTTATGTGTATAAAGCACCAAAACAGCGCTATAAACACGACGTAGTGAAGAACCAGGCTGAAGGCAAAATAACTTTATTGTGAATAATGGTAGACGTTTTTTTTTTTTTTTTTAATGTTCGCAGCTTGTCATACACATGCTAAGAATTCGCGTGCTTCATCGCGCACATATTCAACGACCATGTTTACTTACTTATTAGTTACGTAGTTACGTAGTTGAGTGAGTGAGTGACATCATAGATTTTATAATCAGTGATAAAAACTGCAGGAAAAGCATGTGCACATGCTAATATAACATACGCAAAAGTGCTGGCGTTTTCTGTCCTGAAACCCCGATGGGAATATAGTTGGTGAGGGATGCGCCGATAATATCGACCACATGAAGGCTGAGGTTTTTTGACGTGCCCCTAGATCTAAGTACACGGACCTCTGGCATTTTACCTCCAGGAAAATTCGGCTGCCGTGATTAAATCCCACGAACTTCGGCTTGGAGGGATTAGAGCACCATAGCCAATGGAGCGCCGCACTGGTTCGTGCATAGGTTTGTCGCCATGAAAATTGAAATACATCATAACTGCTTGAATCGCCATTATTAGGTATGCAATTAGCAAGAATAATTGCATCGATAAAAATGCCCTGTGTCAAGCATGAGCAGTGTTTCACTTTGACCGACCGAAAGTCATAACAGGATGGACAGGTGGGCTAGTTGGTATTTCATTGTTCTTGAATAGCCGAGATCGCATGCAGCTACACATGAAAATACACACAATTAGCACCGGTGTCGTGCGCGACCTCCTTCACCGGTCATCATTTCGTTGCTAGAGGTATCTTTTTTTTTTTTTTTGCGATGACACACTTGTCTCGCTATAGTCATTTTCAGCAGCCACTACCGGCATTTAAACGACTGCACCTCTGATTGATATGTGTTGTTTAACGTCCCAAAAGCACCATATGATTATGAGAGACGCCGCAATGGAAGGCTTCGGAAATTTCGACCACCTGGGGTTCTTTAACGTGCACCCAAATCTGAGCACAAGATTACCAGCCTCTGAAAATGCAAAATAAATCTACAGCTTCATTCACACCGGCCGTTTTTCGTCTTTCAGGCACACTTAGTGACGCAAGAACAGCGATTCCCTTGACGTCTATAGTACACATTCTCTCGGTTGGTCCATATACGCGAAGTATAAGACGTGGATTATCTCCCGCACTGCTTTGCCATGCAGTTGCCCATCCGTTCTTCCCTGTCTCGCATGATTATCATGCGTGATCAACTGCATTCACTTGATTTTTTTTATTATTTCGACTGCGCAAGCGGAGATAACGGCCTGTAGCCGATAAGCGCGAAATTTCGATAGGCTCATTGCTCAGTGATGACATTGTATACACGTGCCGAAATAAGTGTAGAGGAGGAGGAGGATCACTTGTAGGAAAGGTAGCGAAGGCGAGAAAGAAACCGCTTTCTCGCTTTTGAACGCGGGATGGTGAGGGGCCCTTTAACGTCAAGAGACACTTCAAAGGCGTCCACTTTCCACCGTAACATTTTTATCAGCTCTTCAGGCACCCTTTTCTGCCTTTTCACATTAGTAATGAAATGCTTATTTCTTTTTTATCATTACAGTATCAGTGCCAAAAGCAATATTCGTCGAAACCTGGGAGAGACACCTGCTTCCCCAGGCCACTTATGTTCGTTATCTATGCAACCAAAGTGCGCACTCAAGAGCGTAGTTCGGGAAAAGAAAAGATACACGGAGAGTGGAAGTGATGGAACAAGCATTGTTCGATAATGAAAGGCGCGAAAATAACGCTGTGCTGGACCCACTGGAGAAATCGTGAGGCAGTGTCAAGGAGTAGCTGCAGAGGACATCGTCGAAGAGTTAAAAAAAAAAAAATTGGATTGACAAACCCACATCGGGAGCAACAAGTCACCAAGAAATCTATATATAGATTTCTCAGAAAGGAAAGCCTCCGAGATGAAGAGATATTCGCCCTGGAACAGGGGATCGAACCATGAACCAATGCCTTTACGGGGTGGTCGCTGTACCAGTTGAGCTAACCAGGAAGCTATGTATTGGCAGCGCGAGCGCAAATTAGCAAACAGCTTAAAGCGCGTGGATACAAAATATTTTGCGAATGAGCCTTGCGGAATCTCACAAGGTGGCAGAAGGGTTCTGAAAGAGAACATTGGCAATGATAGTTGATACCGATCATCAACAACAGCTTATAATTGCGTAGCGATGCAAAATATTTACGACATCTTCGTGTATTATAGGAGCAGCCACGGGTCGCATAGTCAACTGCTGAGTAAGAGTACACGTGTACCGACTAGCAAAGAAAATCTATGGCGGCAAAAAGGCATGGCTTTTTCAACGCGACAGCAGTGTAACCGAGTTGGCACGGCCGCGATAGCGAGCGCAAGCTGTCGCTCCTAAGCGTGACGTCACCCGCCTGGCCTACTTAAACTCGTCACTATAGGCAATAAAGCGTTGTTCGACCCATGATATCGTCTCGTACACATGGTGGCAGCGGAAAACAGCCAGCATGACGACACCGCCTACGTTGCCGACACCGCCTGCATTGCCGACAACGCTCCTGCCGCCTCCGAAGCCCCTCGACACATCGCGAGACGCTTGGCTTGAGTGGAAGACCTGGAAAAGTGAGTTTGAACTGTTTTCCACGGCAACTCAGCTGAACAAGCAACCAAAAGAAGTGCAGGCGGCGACGCTTTTAGTGACCATTGGGGAAGAGGCTAGAAAAGTGTTCGCTTCGTTCAAGTTTGAGCCAGGAGAGGACACAACCGATGTAACCCTTATAATTAGAAAATTTGAAGACTTCTACCAGCCCGCGAAGAACCTCACTTACCACGAGTTTTGCTTCGGCTCCCGAGACCAAAAAGAGGACGAAAGTTTCAATGACTGGCTTGTCGAATTGCGAACGCTAGCCCAACACTGCGATTTTGGAGACTTAGAAGAGCGCATGCTTCGTAGCCGCATCATACTCGGTATCCGGGACAAGGGACTGCAAAAGAAGTTAATTTCTGAAAACCCCTCTTACCAAAGAGTAGTCGAAATCTGTCGCATCCAAGAGCAAGGCGAGGAGCAGTTTCGACAGATACGTGGCACCACTGAAGGCGCTGAAACTGCAGCCGTAAATGCGTTGGCCAGAGTAACAAAGCCATGTAACAAATGTGGCTACAAAGTTCCCCGCGGCAGCCGCTGCCCAGCAACAGGAAAAGCGTGCAAGAAATGCGGAGGATTGAATCATTTCGCCCAAGCATGCTCGCAGTCATCCTTCTTGCACAGCGAAGATGGAAAGCGCAGGGAAATACGAGAGCTACATGTTGACGAAAGGTCAGATTTTTTTCTGGAAGCTTTAACCGTGAACGCACTCGCTAGCGACCAGTGGACCGCGACAGTTTCCATTGAAGGCCGTCCGATGATCTGCAAACTTGATACTGGGGCAAACTGTTGTGTGATTTCAAAGGAAGATGTTTTGTCGCTTCCGAGAAAGACTCGTGAAGCCTGCCGAGCCACGTTAACGAGTTTTTTCGGCCACAAAACGACTGCGCAGTTTAAAGTTGTCGCTATCCGTGAACGATAAACAGCACGATGAAACCTTCTTCGTCATAGAGCAAAACGTGCCGGTGACCCTCAGCGGAGCAGCAGCAGAAAGCCTTGGCTTGATTTATCGCGTTGATAGCGTCGAGACGCAGCAACTCTACCCGGCGGCTCAGCCCTTCACCGATGTTTTCACAGGATTGGGACAGCTGAAGAATTTTGAGTACGAAATGAAGCTCAAACCCGGCGCCGTCGGTGTTGTTGTGCCAGCCAGAAGGGTTCCGGTCGCCATTGAAGAAAAAGTAAAGGCCGAACTTCAACGCATGGAGGAGCACAACGTCATAACCAAGGTAACCGAACCAACAGAATGGTCAAGCTATATGGTAGCCGTAGTTAAAGGTGATAAAGTAAGAATTTGTCTCGACCCAACGGAGCTTAACAAGGTTATTCTGCGTGAACACTACCCTATGCCTGTTCTAGAAGAGGTCGCGCAACGACTAGCTGGAGCTAAATATTTTTCTACATTGGACGCAACATCCGGGTTCTGGCAAATAAAACTTTCTGGCAGCAGCTCCAGATTGTGCACAATGAGCACGCCCTACGGGCGCTATCGGTTTATCCGCATGCCTTTTGGAATTGCTTCCGCCCCAGAAATATTTCAAGCAGCCATGCACCGCCTCTTGGAGGGCCTGTCTGGAGTAGCGGTTGTAATGGACGACATATTAGTCTGGGGCACAACGAAGGAAGAACATGACAACAACTTGACCGGGGTGCTTGCACGCTGCCGTGAGCACAACCTCCGTCTGAACTCGCAGAAATGTGTCTTTTTGCAGGAGCAAGTTCGCTACTTGGGAGACGTTTTCACCACGCAAGGACTGAGCCTGGGACCCGATCGCGTCCAAGCCATTTTGGACATGCCAGCGCCAAGTAACAGTAAGGAATTGAAAGTCTTCCTCGGAACGATGAATTACGTACAGCGCTTCATTCCTCGAATGTCTGTACTCGCCGCACCACTTAGAACATTGCTGCGCAAAGATACTGCCTGGGTCTGGACAGAAAAAGAGCAATGCAGCTTCAATGAGCTGCGCCAAGCCTTAGTAACAGCGCCAGTGCTTGCTTACTTCGATCCGAAAAAGCCAGTCACCCTCTCTGTTGACGCCAGCCACATGGGCGTTGGCGCCGATCTGATACAAGACGGCCGCCCTATCGCTTTCTCGTCTAGATCGCTCAGCGATGCTCAGACGCGGTACGCGCAGATTGAAAAGGAAGCTGTGGCAATTGTGCATGGCTGCGAAAAATTTCACGACTATATTTTCGGCCAATCTGAGGTTACGGTGGAAACCGACCATCGTCCGTTGGTGCCAATTTTCAGTAAACCACTTCACCAGTGCCCACTTAGACTGCAACGAATGCGACTGACATTGCAGCGATACGCCATTAATCTACTGTACAAGCCAGGAAAAGAGCTGTTTTTGGCTGATGCGCTCTCTCGTTTTCCAAGCAAGGCGTTATTGACGGAAGAAACCGAGCGCTTCAATGTTAACGTCATTGGCCTTGTTCCAGCTTCTGAGCGTCGCCTCGAGGAACTACGTGTGGCAACCGCCAAGGATCCTGCTCTGTCGACCATCCGATCCTATGCAGAGACTGACTGGCCGGAAAACAAAGAGGACGTCCCAGCATGTGCCAGGCCATTTTGTGCGTATCGAGAAGAGATGCATACACAAGATGGCCTCGTCTTTCGCAGCAACAAGGTAACCGTACCAAGCGCTAAGAGAGCTGAAATCCTTCGGCTTCTTCATCTGGCCCACTCGGGGGCGGAAAAGATGAAAATTCGGGCTAGGAGTGTCATGTTTTGGCCATCCATGTCGAGTGACATTGACCAGGTTGCAGCATCATGCAAAGTTTGCCAGGCTCACCAAAAGCAAAACACTAAGATGCCTCTACTGTCGCATGATGTCCTCAGTCTGCCATGGGAAATGGTTGGCATGGACTTATTCCACCACGGTGGTAAAGAGTTTGCCTTAATTGTAGACTTCTACTCCTTTTATTTTGAAATAAAGGAGTTTCGATACACAACAGGCCGGCACTTGAAGGAGTGGTGCGCGAAAGTTTTCTCTGTCCACGGCTTACCAGTGAAGCTCTGTAGTGACAACGGGCCCCCTTTTAGTAGCCAAGAGTTCCGTGAATTTCTGCATGAACTAGGAGTCACCCACGTGACGTCAAGCCCTTATCACCCTCGCGCAAATGGCATGGCCGAAAGGGCAGTTCAAGAAGCGAAAACGCTGCTGAAGAAGTGTTCGTATAACAGCCCAGACTTCCATTTAGCTCTGCTTGAGTTGCGCAATACTCCACGTGATTCTATTCTGATGTCACCTGTGCAGAGGCTGATGGGTCGACAGACGAGAACACTGCTCCCAGTTCCCTCCTGCCACCTGAAGCCGGCACCATTGCCCAACAGGAAGGTGCACTCCCGTCTCCAGGAGATTCGCCACAAGCAGAAGGTCTACTACAATCGAGGTGCTCGGGACCTGCGCGCCCTCTCACCGGGTCAGAGGGCCTCGTTGTACGACACGCACACACGGACGTGGTACCCGGTCGTTGTGCTGGGATCAGCGGGAGCTCCACGCTCCGTACTGGTAAAAACAGAAGATGGCCGAGAAATGCGACGCACACGGGAACATCTCCGGGAGGTTCCAGAGCTACCATGCCCCGACACTACCACAACACCTTCCTCAGGCTTGCCAGGCTCGGGTCCCGTTCCAGAGCCGCCACTACCACGGAGAAGCACTCGGGAACGTCGCGAGCCTCGTCGGTACCCCATGCCAGAGCGACCTATATTGCCCCAAGGAAAGGAAGATGTAACCGAGTTGGCACGGCCGCGATAGCGAGCGCAAGCTGTCGCTCCTACGTAAGCGTGACGTCACCCGCCTGGCCCACTTAAACTCGTCACTATAGGCAATAAAGCGTTGTTCGACCCATGATATCGTCTCGTACACAAGCATCATTGGTTGTGAGCGAAAAATCTTCATCTTATGCGTGACCGAGAAAGATGGAAATAACTTAAGTGATGAAAAATTCTGGGTTTGAGTGCGGATCGAAGCCGGGTGGTTACCGTGGCAACCGGGTGTTCGACCACACAGCCACGCCTCTGCTTGTGAATACAGTGAAAATGACTTCCTCTGCTTTTGAATGCAGTAAAAGTAACTTTCATGCTTTACAATCACACGTGTCCTGTATACATGCTTCACAATACAACATGAAGCATTGCCGTAATAAAGCGTGGTACAGCCTTATACTGCCATCGGACGTCACACCATGGTATTATCATAATTACTTCATGGCTTGAAGCCAGTAACCCACTACAGAGGGCACACACGTTACTGCACCCTTTAGGCGACGCAGCTGGTGCATAGCAAGTTAGAAAATATTTCATACGCTCAATGTTTAAATACGCACTAGGGACAGAATATCGCTATCGCATTCAACCTTTAAAGGCGAAGCTTAAGGGTACTCCAAATTTCTTTTTTCTATTGTCTTTCACGAGACAAACGGCAGTCTAACAGTGCTTATATGAAATCCCGCACCCACAGACGGAACTGACACAGGCAGCCCCACCGCGGTGGTGTAGTTGTTCTGGCAGTCGACTGCTAACCCGAACGTTGCGGGATCGAATCCCGACTGCGGCGGCTGCATTTCGGATGGAGGTGAAAATGTTTGAGGCCCGTGTACTGAGTTTTAGGTGCACCTTAAAGAACTCCAGGTGAACGAAATTTCCGGAGCCCTCCACTGCAGCGTCTCTCATAACCATGTCGTGGTTTTGGGACGTTAAACCCCAGCTGTTATTATTGCAACTGACGCCAGCGGTCTGTGCGTTATATTAATAGCGTCCTGTGGAAAGGTATAGCATCACAGTGAACAAAATGGCACGGTCGCACCTACTACAGATCTCCTAGTGGCCCTGTTTGTGACATCGTGCTCACGTAACATGTCTCCAATAAGATCAAGCCATCGTCGCCGTCTCACCATAGATCCAAGAGACCGCCACGGCCTCGAAGAAGACTGCGATGAGGATGGAGTAGCTAGCGGCGTAGCGGTCAAGCATGTTCACCACGTAAACGCCGCCCTGGCAGAGAAGAAAAATCAATCAATCAATTAATCAACCAATCAATCAATCAATCAATCAATTTTTGTTGAGGCAGGCTTGTTGTACACTGTTCTGAGCAACGCAATCTATAATGAACGTATGCAATAACACGGCTGCTGAGTGGCCGTTGTAGGCTAATTACTTTATTAAGAAACTACCTTATTTATCAATAACCTTTTCATCTCTGGGAAAACATCACCAACTACACAAACCTTTTCACAGATGACTCCCTAAGCGCCACCATAGTCCTGTCAAGGCTGCGGTAGCTACAGGCTCAAGCCTAAATCTGCCAAGAACACGGCAGACATGAGAGAGGGAGAAAGAGAGAGAAGTGATACACACAACGACTGGACTTCTCTCCTTAGGCACTGCGCCGTGCTCCCAACCTGGTTGCAGAAATTAGGTGTCTTTTCTCATGTTCTATAACCACTACCACCATCACTTCTCTCCATTGTCCGCCGGCTTATGCTTCAGCGTAATGCACCAACTGAACCAGACTTCGACTTATCGCGAACTAGGCGTGACCCCCCAAAAAAGCACTACTATATACGGAGGCTGTGACGCGGACGCTGTGACGTCAGGTGTCAGGTTTTCTGCTCCCACGCGCAGCTCAGCATGGCGCTGTTCTTTCCTGTGAGAAGGTTTATACCACGCAAGAAGACAAATGTGGTTGTTTGTGTCTGCGCTCGTCTGTGTCCTCTTTCTGTGTACCGTTAGCTTGCGCTGCCAATAGTTTGCTATGAATCTATACCAACTAGCCTGCCTTTTCAAACTCATCTGAAAAAAAAATGTCGCTATTACTGAGTCGTATTTCTCTTTTCGATGTTTCAGACATCGCGCATGCATGCATGTTAGTAGGACAGAGCCTCCGCTTCTCGCGGAATTTCTGTTGGTGCATTGGTTGTACCTGCGTGCAGCTGGCGAGTCCGATGATGTAGTAGAGAGTGAAGAGCCCCGCCACGAACAGCTCTCTGTTCCTCTTCACGAAGGGGTACTCGTCGCTGAAGCCCGTGATGATCGCCTCGGAACCGCCGAACTGCATCGAGACGGGAGCCATGTTGGTCCTGGTTCTTTCATTCATTCATTCGTATACGGATTATAAAGAGACGTAAATTTTACACTTCAAGAGAGCTAATATTAATAATAGTATTACCTAGAATTTAACGTCCCAAAACGGTGACATTATTGTGAGAGACTCCGTAGTGGTGGGCTCCGGAAATTGTGACCACCTGGGGTTCTTTAACGTGCACCTAAATTCAAGCTCACGAGCTTCACACATTTCCACCTCCATTGAAAATGCAGCCGCCACGACTACTTCCGGAAGGCTAGGGTTTTGGGTGTAGTCGGCACATTTACCGCTTTTCATTAACACCCAGTATGCGTTGATATATATATATATATATATATATATATATATATATATATATATATATATATATATATATATATATATATATATATATATATATATATATATATATATATATATATATATATATATATATATATATATATATAGATAGATAGATAGATAGATAGATAGATAGATAGATAGATAGATAGATAGATCATTCACTCGACACATGCCTTTACGGAAATGGTATCAGCAGTTAAAAAGAATGAAAAGCGCCCTTCCCTCTCATACAGATGCCTAAACATGGCCGGCATGTTTCGGATGCTGTGGGTCTTCGCCGGTAGATGACGTCATCATTTTGCGCCATGATGAAAGACAGTCGGTTGATTGCTTTCGGAGATAAGCCTTCCTATAGCCAGCTGTTTTCGCACATGCAGCGACACCCACTGATGGCATCGCTCTGGTTAAACGCCAAGTCAGGTTGTACGCGAAATCCACGCGAGTGTACCGGGAAATTGATCGATCGAAGACCGTTGCAAAAGCGCGCGGTGCGCCCCACGGTGAAGCGCCTTCGAACGATAGAAGCGATGCCGTAAGGTATATACGCGCTGAGACAGTGGAATGAGACGAGAAAAGCTTGCCTTCGGTGGCCACCTTCTCGATGGGTATGTCTGCGCGGTGGGCCATGTAGCCCAGCACGCTGAAGATGACGAAGCCCGCCAGGAAACTGGTGGCGCTGTTCACCGCACTTGTCAGCAACGCGTCCCTGTGTGGGTTGAACGCAAAACAAAATGCTCCACAAGCCTGATGAGTTCACGATTCTAAAAGATTTACTCCGACCTCCCTCAACAAAATTATGGCAAAACTACATAGACGTTTCGCCACATCTTTTAGAATCATGGATCGTACGTGGCTGCATAAAACCTTGCTCAAGGTTCTGCTGTAGATGGTTGTCTGCGTGAGTAAATGTATAGAATGTAAACTAGTCCTGCTGTAAGTATATAGTTGCACGTAAGCAGCTATTTCAGATGCTAGCAGAATTACCCACATACCGTGAAACTGCTGCTTTTTTTTTTCCTTTCCTAAGATGACAATGAGTTTTTCATTACTTGACAGCGCCCACTCCTAAGCGATTCTTTTCATTTTTATTCATCAAGAACTTGCTCTGCTTGTACAGGTATTCGATGCTAATGATGCGAGAATTCGAAACGATTCATTACGCTCCTGTAATACCCGATTCATCGCATAAGCTACACAGAGCTTGAAGCCCCGAGAGACCAGTGTGACCACGTGACACTTAGTGTGAGAGGTCACCATTGTATTTTTGGTATAGTGCAGTGAATTTCTATAAATGCACTTTGCAATGAACCAGCAACTGAAGTAATTACGCTTTACTAAGTTTTACTTCGAACTCCTTTTGACTGTATTATACAATAAGACATCCGTGAGCGGAAATAAAGGCAGAAAACTCGTTTCATTTTCATCGAGGAACTGCACTAGAGTATTATTAGATGGTCAATCATTTCAACTCCCTCGAGCCAAGCGCGGATGACTAGACTGCGGCAAGTATGCCCGCTGCAGGCATCACCGACCTGTAGACGTTGTTGTGGAATTCGTTGTAGCTGGAGAATGCCAGCAGGACGCCGAAGCCGGGACCCAGGGAGAAGAATACCTGAGTGGCCGCATCCACCCAAACCTGAGGGGAAGTTAGGAACCAGTCAAGTGATTGGTATGCCGCGCAACGATGAACGCTAGAGAGAAATCTCGTGGCTGTAATTCTATGCGCCGAAGCCTTAACGCATATACACGGTGCAAGCACCGCTATCATCATCATCATCATCATCAGCTTGACTATATATACGCCCACTGCAGGACAAAAGCGTCTACCATGTTCCACCAGTCAACTCGATCCCATGCTTGCCGCTGCCATTTTATACCTGGAAACTTCCTAATCTCTTCCGCCTACTTAACTTTCTGTCTACATCTCACCCACTTGCCTTCTCTGGAAATCCAGTCAGTTAGCCTTAATCACCAGCGCCGTTACACAACATACAAACACAATGTTACACGTTCGGCGCAAAAACAATACGTAGCAGTAGGTACTCTTCGCGAACATCATCATCGTCAGCAGCAGTTTTAATACCACGTGTGAATGTCAGCCCACTGCCAACTGAAAGAATAAAATCTGATGTTTCGTCTCATTTGCACCGAACAACCTTATGTCACCTGACATCCCTAAGGTACAGCCATATTTGTCATTGTTTTACGGCGGACTGGTGCCGAGAACGCTCATGGAAGTTAATTTTTGGTGCTTAAATCATGTAAACGAGCAAATCTCCTCAAGAAGACAGGCAGATAGGACGAGTTGATTAGTTTTCATAGTAAAAATATAAAACGGTGCCTTGCAAGTTGCGAATTCAGCGTCATGTGTGTCACTTCCTCCTTTCGTCCTGTGTGTAAGCACTGTTTTATATTTTTATCACGGAATCTCCTCACGCTGTTCGTTAGTGTTTTCTAGCGGGACAGTCGGTAATGCATTATTCGCAAAAACACGGGCATTAAGGGGAAGGCGAAGGCATGAAGGGATGCGAAACGCTTCGACCGGGTATGTCGAAGTTTCGACGTGTGGACTTGTCAAGGCGGCCGATTTTACTTGTCTAAACGGTGGCTCCAGCGACAGTCGCAGTTCAACGGTTCCTCTGCATTATTCTCAACAGTAATGTTACAGCGCATGCAAAGGCAGGTGAAAACAGGGGAGCTGCCTTTAACAAAAAATAACTGTTATGTGAAGGAAAGACGGAAGAAAGCAGCGTGGGGTTAAGGAAGAAACGGTTGTTATAAGAACATCACGGTCAAAATCAAGAAATGGACATGGGCAGGGCTCCTAACACGTAGAGAGGACAAACGCTGATAATTAAGGGTAAATGACTGGGTCCTATGAGAAAGCAAACACGTAAGAAGGAGACTTCATGTTAGGTGGACAGGTGAGATTAAGAAATTTTCGAGAACAACGTGACAGCAGAAAGCGCGGTGACCGGGTCGATTGGTGGTGCACGGAGAGACGCCTCCGCCCTTGCAGTGAGTGTAGCCAGGTTGCCGTTCTTGTTGTTGATGATGATGATGCGAAGGTCAGCACTGTGAAATGTGGACACACGCATGTAATATAACATTGCTAGGAGTATATTATGATCGAGTACTCCTCTATATACGGTGAAATTCGTACACCGCTATGCAGGATCTAAGCTGAGCGCATACCGACTGCGTTATCTCTGCAAACACTCGGTCTACACTCGACTTGTACTCGGCAAAGGACCTACCTAGTGCACTAGGCTTGCAGAACAATGACAGGCGGGGACAGGGGCGTAGGCAAAATATTTTCGGGGGAGGGGGAGGAGGCATTACCTTGATCTGAAGTGGGAGCCCGGCAGGCTGATATGGTCGAGTGACATTTTGTGCTATGTGTGCCGTAACATAAATAAAAAAAATATGTGAGAGAGATGGCACGGGCCAGGTGTGCCAACCCCTTGCTACGCCATTTTTTCTCGTGCCTTCCTCACTTTGAAGTACTGATTGATTGAATGAATTAATGATTGATTAATCAATTGAAGCATGACGCTAATTATGTACGAGTAGCAGATACTGAGCGTGTCTCTCACCCTCGGGTTAGCGAGCACGCTGAAGTCTGGCGTCAGGTAATATGCGATTCCCTGGGCCGCCCCGGGTAGTGTGGTGCCACGGATAAGCAGGATGAAAAGCACGCAGTACGGGAACAGCGCCGTGAACCAAACCACCTGCGCGAAACAGTGAGATGAAGAAATTTGAGGACATACGGCAAGCGCTGCTACCACGGCACACTGTAAAACCATACTCGCCCCATGCATGCGATGATATCCCGTAAGCTGTAGTTAGGTACGACATGTGGACGTGGTAAAGTGAATGTCACTCGGTCCCTTCGAGGCGTAACCAAACCTACAGTCTAACAGGATATCTATGCAACTAATTAACGATGCAGTCAGTTGACTAACTACACGCCAGAAGATGCTGCAAGGCGCGGGATTGTGCCTATTTGTTAAGTTGCAAAAGAAGCCACTCTCACTGAACGAAGGCGTAGCGAAGGCCAAATCATTTTGTTTTTGCTCATTAGGAAAGCAAGAACGAAACAATAACAAAATGCTTGCTAGCCCCAGTGACTGATTCGCTCCATGGGGAGGAAGGGGAGGGAGCATCAAAAAGGGAGAAGGCAGGGAGGTTAACCAGAAAGAAATCCGGTTGGCTACCCTACACTGGGGGATTAGGGAAGGGGACAAGAAAGACGAGAAAGAGGGAAGAGAGGGAAAAGAAAAAAAGGTGGGGGAGAGACTGACAGTAATTTCACTGCAGCGTGTAGAACTCTACCGCATGTCAGAGGCGTTCACACAAGCCTGTCTTTCTCAGGAAACGCAGCAGTGCTTTCACTGCCTTGTGGGCTGTCGAGGCATGTGAACGTTGCTGTAATAGCACCTGCACAGAAAGAGGCCGATCATCCAGTCGCCGCAATGCGTTGGCAAGTACTTGTCTATCTGAGGCAAATCGAGGACAATGGCACAGCAGGTGTTCGATATTTTCGTCAGTGCCGCGAACATCGCACGCCGCACTGTCAGTAATTCCGACTAACGTGGTATAAGCTTTCGTGAAAGCAACTCCTAGCCAAAGGCGATAGAGAAGCGAAGCTGCACGTCGATGTAGGCCGGGTGGAGGCCGAAGTTGTAGTGAAGGGTCGAACTCGTGCAGTCTTGTACGTCGTATGCTTGGTGTGTTCCACTTGGTCAGTGTGAGACTGCGGGCCAGTTGACGAATCTGCCTCGCCGCATCCGCTCTTGAAAGCGGAATCGGAACGCTGTTCGCTTCTTTATGTGATGTGCGAGCAGCATGATCTGCAGAATCATTGCCGCCTATACCACTATGCCCAGGTAACCACTGAAAGACGATGTCATGGCCTTTTTGTATTAAAAGGTGGTGAAGTTTCACGGTTTGGTAGGTCAACTGGTCGTGGCATCCGCGTCGGAGAACTGATATCAGGCACTGTAACGCTGGTTTTGAGTCAGAAAACACAGCCCATTTACCTGGTCTTTCTTCTGAATTGATGTGTTCCAGTGCATTGCGCAGAGCCTCGAGTTCTGCCGTCGTTGAACTTGTCACATGTGAAGTCTTAAAACACCGAGTTATCCCTTGTGATGGTATAACCACTGCTCCACCTGAACTAGACGGCGTAGTAGAGCCATCCGTGTAAATGTGCACGTGGTTACTGTAGTTTTCTTCCAGTAGGAATAGACTCAGTTGTTTCAGGGCATGTGTCGGTAAGTCCGATTTTCTCCTCATTCCTGGAATCAATAAGTGAACTCGCGGCCGGCTCAAGCTCCAAGGAGGAAGCAGTGGCTTTGATGCAGGTGCGTATGTCTCAGCAAACGATGAACGATGCTTGGAGACAATAGTGCCGTATGTCGTGCGGGGCCTTTCAGCAGCTAGGCTCACCAGGTGGTGAGAAGGGGTCCTGGCATAATGCCTGAGGTGCATGCGCATTGTCTCGGTAATAATATGCGTATTTATCGAGTGATCTTGAGCGATGGCAATGGTTTCAGCCGTTGAAGCACTGCGGGGTAATCCAAGGTATATCTCAAGTGCTTGGGCTTGAATGCTCTGAATTGCGCGCAGGTTGGTCTTGCCGGTGTTAGATATTGCAGGTAAGCTGTACCGTAAGAATCCGATAAACAGCACTCTGTACAGTTGTAGCATGGATTACTGGGCACTCCCCAATTCTTTCCTGCAAGGAATTTGAACATGTGGCATGTTGTGATCAGCCGCTTCTTCACATAGTTCACGTGTGGAGTCCACGAAGTGTTTCTATCTATTATGACTCCCAAAGACCTGTGGCTTCTGCTGAACGATATGTATTCTTCCTTAATCGATATACTGTAAGCAGACATTGGTTTCCGCGTGAACGCTACCACTGCACATTTTCCGCAGGACACCTCGAGGCCTTGTTTACGAAGATAGCATCACGTCGTTGTAGCAGCCTTCTGAAGGCGGGCGCGTAGCTGAGGCCTTGTCACACCTGATGTCCAAATGCAGATGTCATCAGCATAGACAGAAAGTTCTACAGTGCTAGGTAGCTGCTCGACTAGACCAATGAGAGTTAGGTTGAAAAGGGTAGGGCTTAGCACTCCTCCCTGTGGAACTCCTCGGCGGCTGTAATAATCAGGTGTTGGGCCATTCGCTGTCATCACGTAAAATGATCTCAGCTGTAAGTAGCTGTACACCCACATATTTATCTTGCCACCAAGACCTACTGTTTCCAAAACACTAAGGATGGCTTCATGGGTGACATTGTCGTAAGCCCCCTTAACGTCTAGAAACAGGGCGGCGCACAGTCTTTTACATGCTTTCTGGTGTTGAACATATGTCACCAGATCAACAACGTTGTCGATTGACGAATGGCCGCGCCTGAATCCGGTCATGGATACTGGATAGATTTCGTAGTGCTCTAAATACCACTCCATTCGTGTTAGAATCATTCGTTCTATCGTTTTTCCCACACAACTGGCAAGTGCGATAGGACGGTATGAGGCAATATCCAAAGGAGATTTACCAGCCTTTGGAAGTGGAATGAGGCGACTTGACTTTCATGCCTGGGGAACCGTACCAGTCTGCCAGGAGTCGTTGTATAGGCGTAAGAGTGCCTTCCGAGCTTCGTCTCCAAGATTACAAAGGGCACGATAGGTAATGCCGTCAGGTCCGGGTGCTGAAGAACGTCTGCACAGAGCCAGTGCCGCCTCTAGCTCATCCATAGAAAACTGGCATTCCATAGGGAAATCACGTGAGGGCGGTGGGTTGTCAAATGTTCCCGTTCTTGATACTGTGAAATTGGAATCACCGGCAATTCTTCTACAGAAAGATTCTGCGACGTCAATCTCTTTGCATCGAAGGTGAAGTGCCAGAGATGTAAACGGGTGTCGCTGACCCAAGGTTGTGCTAAGACCCCGGACAGTTCGCCATATCAGTGAAAGGGGCTTTCGTGGATCCAACGACTCGCAAAAGGATGTCCAACGTCGTCTAGCCAGTCTATCCATGTGCCGCTGAATTTTCTTTTGAATGCGTGTAGCCAGCCTCAAATCATCCATGCACTTTGTCCGTCGGTACCTTCGTTCTGCACGACGGCGTACTGCGCGAAGTTTCTCAAGCTCGATGTCGAAATCCGTGCGCTTGTGACTAGTCAAATGTGTATGCGTGGTATTCTGCGGGACATCTTTATCGAGTCCTCTAGGTTATGTGATTTGCCGTCGGTACAGCAGTCTTCCATTAACATTTTTAATTTCGGCCAATCGGTGTACTTGAGGCCTCTTGAGGACTTGGAGCTGGTGAAACCTTCTATACACAGGTAAGTTGGTATATGTTCGCTGCCCCGCGTTTCCAGATCCGAAAACCAGTTCACTTTCCTGGTAAGTGAGCGAGAAATCAATGTAAGGTCCAGGCAGCTGCTATAGGCTTATCCGCGTAAATATGTAGGGCTTCCATCGTTACAAACGCAGAGTTCGTACTCCGAGGCTAAGGACACCAATTTTCTTCCTCTAGAGTTGTCCCTGGAGCTTCCCCATAGAAAATTGTGGGCATTGAAGTCGCCAGTGATCACCCATGGCCTTGGAGTCGATGTCAGAATACCGCGTAAGCGCTCGCAGTCAAGGCGGCTTGATGGAGATACGTAAGCTCCAATAATCGTGAAAGCAACCTTATCCTTCTTCACAGTAAGGCACACATACTGATTCCCTTCATCAGGCGAGACTCTGGGGTGAACGTAAGTGAGGTCATGGCGCATGAATACAATAACTTTGCTGCAGTCTCTGTGAGTTGAGGACATAAAGCACTCATATCCTGACAGCTTGATTGAAGCACACAGGCTGGGTTCACAAATCACGATAATGGGGAAGCGGTTCACAAATACAAACTGTCTAAAGTCAGACATGTGTGACTTCAGTCCTCTGGCGTTCCACTGAAAGACAGATGCATTCTTGACTTCCGCTCGAAACGACGGTGCCTCGCTGGCCATGGTTTTACCTCAGAGCTGTAAGCACCGGACTCAGGGTGTCCAGCACATGCAGTGCGGCCTGTGCAGCCGAAGTCTTCATATTACTCAGTAGGACACGCATGGTACTCATCAGCGATTGCAGCAAGCTTATCACTTGATCCTCATTCATCGCATCACTGGTTTGAGGGGTCGTCGGGGGCGGCGGGATTTGATGCAGCTCCGAAGTAGGTTGACTTCGTGGAAGAGAGGGCCACTGTTCGGAAGGTGCGACTGCTGTCCCTTTCTTCTGTTTGGCAGTATCCGTCTTCAGTGAGCTCGGTGTTTGTGGGTCAGCCTCTTTGATAGAGGATGACATCTCTCTATCGGTAGAGCCGTTTTTCCGTGATGGTCTTCGCCCACGACGCCGTCGACGGCGTAGTGTAGCGGCAGTTTCTCTGTGCGTTGAATTGTCCCGCACCATACGCCTGAGTACCGCGTGCTCGTTTCGCACCCGCGGGCAATCTTTGGATGAGACCTCATGAGCGCCGTGGCAGTTTGGACATCGTAGCATGGTGGCACTGCAGGCGTCTTTTGAGTGAGACTCAGCGCACCGCGGACACACAACTTTGTTCTCAAAGACACCGTTTGTGTGTCCCATCTTGAAGCACTTGTAGCGTTGCAGTGGCTTCGGTATGCAAGGACGCACTGAGTGGCAAACATGGCCAACTTTGACATACGAGGGAAGGCTGTCTCCCTCAAACACAAGCCTCAAGCAGCGTGAGTTGCCGAGTCTGGTAATGTGCGTGATGCGGGTGCCTTCAGTCGCTGGCTTTATTAGTATTGGCAGATCATTAGCTGAGATGGAAAGACCCACATCATAAATGACGCCTACAGTGCCATTACAACCTGTAGCGACCATTGGCCGAACTTTCACGTTGCCGATTTCTGTTATGTGCCGAAGGCTTTGCAATGCGCTACGGTGCATAACGTCTACAGCAAAGACATTCTTTCGTGCATTGATCCTCACGTCTTTGATCTCATTCGGCGCGGTTTCCTCGAGAAGCACAGAAAGAACTTGCCTGTTCAGGAGTCGCAAGTTAGATGCAGGGTCTTCGGACATAAACAGCATGGTGTGCGGCCACCGCTGTGGTGCAGTCTTAACGGTGGAAACACTTGCCGACGATGCCGTCCGCAGCAGTCTTCGTTTTGTAGATCGATTCATGACGACCGTGAAGTTATCATCCGATGACTCAAAGCCGTCCGAGTACAAATCGGTTGCCTCACTGTCGGTGTCGCTCGACGCGTTGCTACGCTTCCTGGACGACGAAGTCCGGCGCGACGGTTGCACGCCTGGAACATTCTCAGGTGTGTCCTGAAGCATCACCGCAAAGGAGGGAGCGGCAGCTCCCAGGATTTCCAGGAAAACAAATTGAAAATACTGAGACACGGGCACAAGCGTTCTGTGAGAGAATCACTTCGTCGTCGCTCCATTCAAAAACAAAAAAAACTATGGACCATCTCCCCAAGGGGAACCCTGATGTGATGCGAAGCAGCAGCGGTCCGCACAGTGTTGACACGCTTGAAACGGGCGTCGACGCGGGTGTTGGAAGAATGGTTTGAAGCAAAAAGGTTTTTAAAAAAAAGGATTGCTGAAGTGAAAGCTCCCGCGATGCTTTGCCAGCAATAGTGGAGCCAGCTTTTGCCCTCCAAAGATCTCAGAAACATGCTATTTTTCGGTGGTGCCCATTTAGACATCAAGTGGCTTTGGCCTGTTAGTCCAAAGGCCACGTTGATCATAGGTGAAAACACAGTTGTTTCTGAAGAACTAACACACAGAGACGAGTATTGGTGACATAATCTTCAGTAAAATTTGCCTTTATTTCGTGGCTCACTAAAAAAAAACTAGTAACAGAAGGACGCACTTAGAGCACTATATGACCAGAAAAGGTTCGTGGCTGCCGCAGCTGCCATCTTACGGAGGGTACAGCTTCACTCGTGAGCGATAATTTCGTCTCCAGCAATTTTTAGAACCTCCTTGGTTTGAAGCAAAACTCAGTGTAGCGTTCACTCGAGTAGACGTTTGTTTGAAACGCAGACACGCGAGGCGGGACGCTTGAAGACGTTTGCGCTCGGCTTCCTTGGCTCGCGTCTCGTCGGTGTTACTCGCGCACCGCGTGTATTCTCGAGCGCGATCGGTGTTCTTGACTCGCAACTCGTCGGTGTCGCTGGTCTTCCTCTGCCGACGCTTGCGTTCGGCTTCCCTGGTTCGCGCCTCGTCGGTGTTGATGTCGTCATTCGCGCACGCGATCGGCTTCGCTAACCCTCGCGACGCCGGCGACAGCCGGGAAAGGTATGCGCACACTAGCGGAAAGCATGCCGCAACGGCGTGCCGCCCGTCGGCTCGATCGCGCTGCAATCAGCGGCGCGGTGTCCACATTGTCGGCGCCGCGAGATTCTCGAGGCGCGCAGCGCGCGCATCCGCCGGCTCGCGGCTTCTTTTTGCTGACAGATAGAGAGATGTAGTGTTGTTGTTGTTAGTGGTTCATGAGGAAAAGGAAGAAGGCACCTAATTTCTGTCTGCCTACAGGCGACACGGCGCAGTGCCTGGTAGTGCGGGTCCCACGTGAGGGTCGGGCTCGAGCGTTGCGAGTGGTGGAGAGGGTGAAGCAAGAGAGAGCTGACACGCGGCGAGCGCGCGGCAGGCGAGGGAGAGAGACCTCACCACGCAATGCTAGGAGGGCGCGACGCCCTTTGCACATTCCAACATCTGCGGTGAGGAGAGTTGTGCGGACGGAGGGACAGTATTACACAGGTTAGTCAGAGTTGCTTCGCTTCTAAAAGTGGACAGACAATATGGAAGAAGAAAGAGAGGGAAACGATGAACCATACAGTTTCCGTAGGATAAACAAAAGGCAATAAATGAAAACGATATAACTAAGGTGGACAGAAGAGTAAGTTGGTACAGTTATTCATCGCTAGAAAAGGGTGGCGTGTCGACAGGGACAAATGTACAGCGTAGATGACAATGTACGGCCAAACCACCAGTACTGTTAACAAATCCCGAAGTTTTAAGTTCAAATAACATGCCAACAGTCACACTAAATAAAATGCAGGCTACTTTAAAGGCCGCATTAACTAGACTAAATTGTTTACGCAGTCATCATCACATAGTTGAATTTAATAAGTGAAATATTATCCAAATATTATTAATAAGTGAAATATTATCCAAATATTATTACTGGCCTTGGGAGTTATTCAGGGGCACTGCTTATTGATCTAATAAAGTTGCACAATAATATGCATCTTTTCGAAAGTTTTCAGCGCACCACGGGGCGCTTAAACACCGATAAATGACTCTCCCCAAAGTGCCCATTTCCAGCTCCAGTAACTGGTACCACTCTTTTTGAAAATGAAAAGACACTTAGTATACTTCAAGCGTTTCTGTCATTTTTTTTTTTTTGTTTCCTCGCAACTGTAAGAAAGAGGGGAACAAAAAAAAAACCCTATTGAAACAGAAGCTTTGCCGCAGAGCATTACTCCACTGCGGCGAAGCAACAGGTTCCTGGAGCAGGAAGAGTCGTTCGAGCCATCCAGGCGTAACGGCGGATAATGTAACTCGGCCCCAGTGGGTGGAAGTGGTTGCCACACTAAGTGGCGTGCAAGAATAAGATGTTTCAGGTTGTGTGCCAAACGGAAAAGAAGAAAAATGCGTTCGGTCAGTTTTGTCGTACATGAAAGGTGCAGTCCATCTGATCGCCTCAATGTCGCCCTAAGGGATTGCGATGGCCGTAAAGGTTCGTCAAGCGTATCGCCGCCCCTTTTGCACACCGAGGGCAGAAAGTGTTGACGCTAAGCGGCGGCGTAGAGGTAATGGTCATCCCCGCTTTCATATTTTCATCCACCCTTCACTTAGCCTGTCCTATTTTATTTTCTTTCCTCTGCGTGGTGGTCAGTGACTTCCTATGGCCCCTTCCCTCGTAATCACTGTGCAACGAGCAACTTTTTTTATGCGCGTGATTTATGCTGTCCTTGCTTTTTTGCGTACCTTTACAGGCCGGGTGCAGTGGGGTGAAGGGCGTGCTGGAAGCCCCAGCGACACGAAAAGCCACTCGGCTGCCGTAGCCATATTGGATTTGGCCCCCTGACCCTTCCCTCTTTCACTGCCGCGCCGTCAGCCAACCCTGTGAGCCGCACTTCCGGCGACTGCGACCAATTAGCTTTTAACCGGAAGTGCACTGCCACCTGCACCGGCGCCTCCCGGCAGCCAGACCGACGTATCGACCACGCCAGAGGTAGCCAGCCTCACCACGGCGGCTCTCGACATCGCCGGTACTGGATTAGGCTTGACGTCCGACATTCCCTCAGCTTTTTTTATATAGTTCTGAATACTCACAAGGAAAACGCGTCAAACATGTGGTCACCGTGATTTACTTCAGCTATAGCGAGAATTCATTCCATGCACAGGCTTGCATGGGTTCTTTCCTTTCGGCGTATCCCTTCATGTTTTTACGCAGAAGTATGAACATCAAAAGACGGAGCGATATAAGCTCATTCAACGCACCCAGAGTGACAGGCATAGAATAATGCAGCAGCGCATTCGTGACCATGAAGCCTGTTCACCAGAGACAGACACGTACTTACAGAACATTTCACGAGTCTCACATACCTTTCACGCATAGTATATTACGAAGATCAGTTCGTATAGACAGCGTTAAAAGTTCAATTAGTAGGGTTACCTTTCCGGAGGTGGAGATTCCTTTCCAGAGACTGAAGTAGCAAATCACGTAGACGGCGAGCAGGCACAGCGCCATGTCCCACTTGATGGAACCGAGGTCGTCGATGCCCGAACTGTACTGAAGCTGCAGAAGGTGACGTCTGCACGCACGGCGAACAGGCCATTTGGATGAGTGCTCGTTTATTCAAGAAGGTCAAAGATCCACGCCCGATTCAATACTACTGACCTTACTTTGGTGCTTTTATAAGAAGGTGTACAGCGTGTGACAGAATTGTTTGTTAGCTCAAATACCAAGGAACTGCCGCGCCAAAATAAAGTAGCCTTCTCGTTTATCCAATAAAACTTGTAGCTGAGTGAGTTGATCCATACCTCAAGGTAAACTGGCGTGAGCAAATAAAGACAAGGACACATAGAGAACGAACAGGCGCCATGTCCCTGTTCCTTTCTGTCCTTGTTCCTGTTTGTTATTTATGTGTACCGACCCGTCTTTATTTGCGCACGCCATAGTTTACCTTGAAGTTCCCATTTATTAACTCACCCATCTGCACGACCGTTTCGACAAAAGAGAAAGAGAATAAGGATGAAAGAAATACAGGGAAGATATTATTATTATTATTATTATTATTATTATTATTATTATTAGTAGTAGTAGTAGTAGTAGTAGTAGTAGTAGTAGTAGTAGTAGTAGTAGTAGTAGTAGTAGTAGTAGTAGTAGTAGTAGTATAAAATACATGGGGTTTAACATCCCAAAATCACCATATGACTATTAGAGACGCCGTAAAGAAGGGCTTCAAAAATTTTGATCGCCTGAGGTTCTTTAGTGCGCACCAAAATCTGAGCACATGGGCCTACAGATTTTTCGCCGCCATCGAAAATGCAGCCCCCGCATCCGGTATTCGATCCCGCGACGTGCGGGTCAACAGTCGAGTGCCTTAGCCACTAGACCACCGCTGCGGGGCAAGGACAGGTAGGTTAGCCAGGGCTGAGCCTGCTATGATACCCCGCAGTGGAGAATGGGAAGACAAGTTAGTTTGTATATAGAGAAGGACAGAAAATTTATTCTTGCATTAGAGGTGAAGCGTCTCGATCGGGTAAGCCAGAGTAACACGGGAGGTGATCAATAGTTTCATCAACATGACAGTCATTGCATTCAATGCCATCTTAAATTAGTTACAAAAATAAAACACTTTGTGGTTACAGCGTAGTTGCCAGACATTTAGATCGGCTCATTCGTTAGTAAATAACTGGAGTCTGGCAAATACCAGGCCAGGGGCGTAAAGTGTAAGGATATATATCCTGGAGCAAACTATAGCGCTTGGAGAGCTAGAAGCTACGGTACATATTTACGTTATATTGGCATTCTGCATAGATTACTACCCATTACGATTATTCGCACTAACCGAAATGTCTTGTGAAAGACCATTTAGCTATCTCTGTGAAAGTTACATCTGTTGCCTTGATAACCAAAGCTTCATAATAAAACTGATATTACGGGAACTGGCTAACGTCATAGATAATAAGTTATTAACATCGTTTCTTTAATTTCGAAAATATTCTTTCAAGATATGGAAACCATTCGGAAGGGATTCGATATTCGGTCTCGCTTCGGTGCATTCAATTTTTGTGTGACCCAGAAAAATTACGTCGAGCAATCGCCACGAGTCTGCACGTGATGCATGCAAGCTAACTCTGATATGCCAGAAGCAGAATATAGTTGTGGACTAACTGGTGAAATGTACTTCAATGAATAAACAAGGCTCACACACACACAAAGTCCTAGTACCAACTTCGGCTCTTTATATACTGAAAGAATTCATTAAAAGCATACTAAAGCGAAGCAACGAATAGGTTTATATTGATAATTTGTATTCTGATAACTGAATGTTGATTTCCGTATCATGTTTCTGTTAATGAAAGAGAAAATCAAGGTCAACGTTCTATATTAAAATTTTGCGCAAAAAAATGTATGCACGTGATGCAACGAGTTTAAATGATTGTTTTTCATATTTTGGCAACATTTCCCAGACGAAACTTCTTGAAAGTTGAAGTGCGGTGTCTATAGTCCCTTCGGAGGACAACACCGAACTTTTTTACCACTCAGGAATTAAGAAGAACTTAGTCCGCGTCACCAAAAATCTATGACGTCACAGCCATTGATGCGCTTTTTTTTTCACGTTTTTCTCGCTTACCAAGCTTACTATCGGGGCAAACGTGGTGATCTTGCATTGTGGATTAATATTATTAATAATAAACTAATATGGGAACAACAGTTTTTCCCTCTTTCGTGCCCCTCTAAGTACACAGTCAGCACTAATATGTAACAGCGCCTGAATTCACAAAGAAGAGCCTGCACGTAGGCGGCGTGACGGGGTACAAGGCGCAATCAAAGCTGCTTCGAGACTTCCCTTCCGCCACTTATAAATTATACGCATTACAATGATGTAAAAGAAAAGGAAAAAAAACTTCGCCCTATAGGGGTGCCAAGCCTTAAGAAAGTGTGGAGCCTTCTATGTTTCTATTCGGTGTCCTCTTTTCTTTCTTTCTTTCCTCCTCTCTTACCTTATTATCCTCTTTTCCGCATGTCTGTGTGTCTTTTCTCTTCATTCCTATTCACTTTTATTTTGATCTCTATTTCTTCTTTTCTCTCTCTCTCTCTCTCTTGATATTTCCCGCTTATACTTTCTCTTTTTTTTAATTTTGTATGTGGTTTTTGCTGCGTTACGTCAAGCAACGACAACATACGACAGTCCTGGCCCCTAATGTGCTCCGCACTTGATATCATGATCAAGGCACGGCACTCGAAGAACAAGAGAAAGAAGACGTCTGTTTGGCGTGAGCATGCTCTCAAATAGGTTCCCTAAAAATTCTGCAGTGGAACTGCCGGTCTATTTGGTCGGCAACTACAGATTTACAATATATTTCTTCGCAAATTTCTCCCGACATAATTGCCATTCAGGAAACCTGGCTTGGTAACGGTAAAAAAAATTTACGTGAAAAATTATCGATTAATACGGCTGGATCGGCCGAGTAGAGGTGGCGGTCTGGCTTTCTTAATATCAACTAAATTTAGTCACAGAGCCAAGATATCGTATCAGTGTATGGATACGAATTACGAAATTCTGGTGTTAGACATAACACTACCAGACTGCTCGCCTTTCTCTTTTGCAAATGTATACTTTCCTGCAGGAGTTCAAGACACGAGATGCCTCGATATTGTGGTAGCTTCATGGAGAAAAGAAATAGTACTGTGTGGTGATTTCAACTCACACCATGTGTCTTGGGGCTTCAAATCTGATGTATGCGGAAGACGTTTGTGGGAATGGACGCTTGATAATAACTTTTCCTGCTTGAACTCACACGTTGCTACATTTGTAAGAGGTAACTCTAAATCGACTATTGATTTAAAATTTTCCAGCTCCACTTTAAGCATATCCTCGTGGAATATATTAGATTGGGCTACAAACAGCGACCACCTTCCCATTACGTTTGAAATTAAGTTCCCGAGGTTTAGTTCGGCAGGGAAAGTTGGCTCATTTGTGAATTATGCTAAATTACAAAAAGACTTAAAATCTACGTTAACTTTTCGCGAGGAAATGCAGGAAGACCTTAGGGCTATGAGTCTATGTGCGGTGTTGAAACGATCACTAAAAAATTCAAAGTTTACTGTAAACTCGAACACAGCGGGATCTTTTAGCCCGTGGTGGAATCTAGAATGCGTCAGGGGGTATAGAAAGAGAAAAGCAGCTTGGAAAAAGCTGTTAATTAACCAATGCCCCAAAAATTGGAGTGATTATAAATTCATGGCCGCCGATTTTAAGCGTCTAGTGCGCAAAGCAAAAGAAGACTATGATATGAATAAATTTAATTATCTGTCTAAGTCTAAAAATAAGAAAATGCTTTTCAGGTTTTTACGTGCGAGAAAAATGATTCCACAGACAGAAAGCAGTCATTCCACCATTATGTCTCCTCGCGAACTCTCTGAATTCTTGGAAAATATTGCTAAAGGCTTGCAAACTAGGTTTACGACAATTATGCCAAAGTCCATGGTGAAATTAAGGGTGGATTGTGATTTCCAGGAGGTATCTTTAGCTGAACTGGCGGATGTGATGAAGAGCTTACCGCCCGCTGCTCCCGGACCTGATGGGGTGACCTCTACAATGATTAAAGTGTTATACGAAATATCGCCACATGAAATCCATAATATAGTTAATTATTCACTGAAAAATTCTTGGATTCCGGCCGATTGGAAGCTTTCCGAAATAATTCTGATACTTAAGAAACAGGTAATGGAGTTTATTCTGGATAACATAAGGCCTATTTCATTGACATCTAACCTGGTCAAGCTTGTAGAGAGAGTCTTAAATGCCCGTATAGTAAACTACATCAATGAACATACAATACTAAACCCCAGACAAATTGGCTTTAGATCGGGATACTCCATTTGGTGTGCACATGTGGATTTGGAAAGTCGCATACAGCTGGCTCGGCATCGCCGCGAATACTGTGCACTAGTCACTCTAGACTTAGCTAAAGCGTACGACAAAGTGGAATATCCTATCCTAATCCAGCAGATGCAAGACCATCGCTTTCCAAAATATATAACAGCATAGATTACAGAGTTTGTGAAAGACAGAGAATTTTATTGCTTCTTGGATGAATGCTCTTCTAAAAAATATAAGCAGACACGAGGTGTACTCAGGGCTCAGTATTATCCCCGGTGTTATTAAACATATTATTAAGTTCCATTCCAACTCATCAGGATATCCAAATTTACGTATATGCAGATGATATTGCTTTCTTCGCAACAAACAGTGATCTGCACTCATTGTATCAGGCATTACAGAATTACATGAACATGCTAGAAGGATGGCTTGACTATATCCATATGTCATTGAACGTCAAAAAAAAAGCGCGCTTCTGCCATTCTCTTTTAAGGATCGTGTCAACATTTCCCTGATGTATCGTACCGAGCTCATTCCCCAGGTCGATTTCCTGAAATACCTAGGCATCGTATATAATAGGACGCTAAATTGGAAAAGCCATATAGACGAGGTTGGCTGTAAAGCGTCACGTGCCTTGGGGTGGTTACGCAAATTGGGAAACAGAAAAATAGGATTGCGTAGGAGTTCATTGATAATGA